AAAACAAAATATCAAAGTATTGTCTAGTAAATTATGATTAGGTCTTACAAGTAGGTGACCAATATTCAGTTTTTCAAGTAGTGGATGATGGCTCAGGCCCACTGAGTCCTTGCTATTTTTAGTTGACTCAAAGCTTTTAATTGATAGAAATTTTCAAGTTAAACGGAGATTAATTCAGGTACCCATATGTTTAAACGTAATTTTAGAATGATATTTTTGTGAAAGCTTTCTCCAGTTCAAATGTGTGTTCTATTAGTCTGAGAACCAGGTTAGTTGCAGGAAGACCTGAGATCTAGTTTTCACGGTGATATAGATACTTTCCATATTACAATATTTTTCAATATCTTTGACATCTGAAATATGGTAGAAACCTAATTTTTGAAATTTCCATTTCTACAGTACACTTGGGTTAATTTTTAAAAAGTCTAAATCAAGGGAGAAGAGCGTTTTCTCTTTAAGGAAGAATACAAATGAATGTCAAAGACTTTCAAGCTATTTAGTTCCATTATGGAAATCACAGCCATCAAAGCCGAATAGCTGTCTTATATTCTTCTATGTCATATTTTGAGCACTTAATTCTATTGTAGTGTGGGGGAGTTGAATAATTTAACATTATGAGCAGGAGGTCAGGTTACAGTCAAGCTATTTGCTTTTTCATCATGCTAGTGATGTCTGTAGTGCACTGCAAATAAGATTTCCATCAGTGTAAGCTTATGGGTTGTGTGTTAAAAGACCAAATATCATGTATTGATCAATGACAGTAAAAATAAATATACAGTAATAATTAGGAAAAATTAAGTTTCACATTATACATCTGAAAAAATAGTATTTATAAACTGTGCCTGACAAAGAGATTTATGTGGGTTCTAGAATTTTTTAACCATAACAGAGACTTTATTTTATGGTTGTTTCAAACAAGCAGTAATCACAATGGCCTGGAGGATTTTTCAGTGGTGTGGTAACCTTTTCAGGAAGGGTGGTAATCCTTCTGATAGGAGATATAAGTGCTTAGTTGAGCTGGCAGCTGGAGGGTGTGTATCACACCCCTAAAAGTTCTCTTAACTTTTAAAGTTCCAGGAAAGTCCTGGCAAGGCAGGAGTAGTCCTTTTCCATGGGGTATCCAGCTGGAGGTACGTGGTGAAAGGCTTTTATTAAGGTATCTTCAGGTAGTTAATGGTGAGAAATGGATTAGGCAGAGGCTCATGAAGGTGAGTGAGAATTAGCAAGTTATCTAAAAATAACAGCAGATTTTTAATAGTGGTGACTGACCATAAGTTTTCACAAGTACTGTTCCTCCTGCCATGATTTCATAACTCTGGTTTAAAATATATAGCATACAACTATGTTTATGGCAGGTATTTTTAAAATTAAAAAAATGTTGAATGTTAAAGGGGAGTTAATTGTGCTACGATGACCAGTAAAGAGAATGACAGGCTGGAATACTAAGTGGTGTGGTGGGTGACTGCAGGGCAGGATGAGTCCCCTCCTGACATCAAGGTTTCTGGCTGGTAAGGTGTACAGGTACAGTTAATGTTTCTGATGGATAGGATTAACTTCTGGCATTTGATCCCAGTAGTCAAGTTAGATGCTTCAACAGGAATGAAATTAATTAGAAAGGGAGTTTGACAGTGCCAGTCAACACAGGCCAGGAATTAAATAAGTCGCTTTTATCTACCAGGCTGCATTCTCTGAAGAAAAGCACTTCATTTTCAGGGAGGTCTTTTTTCTTGCATGTGACCTAGCAGTTGCCACATGGAGGGCACCTGTACAAAGCATTTTCCTTTATGAAAGGTTGGAATAGATTGAGGATCCAGATGTTCTTTGCATTGCTGTTAGCCATGGATGGTGTTCCTATATTCATGTTTCAGCAACAAAATGGAGGATGGAAAATGACTGTTTGTGGTAAATGTAGCACACAAGATTAGAAAATGTTAGTGTGAGTGGTGTAAAAATATAATGCTAAACTGGCACATCCTACTCTCATTAATCTAGAAAAAAAGGTGGATTTTTCAGTAAATCCTGTGCCAGCTCATCAGATGATATGTTTTCCTGATAGAAATACATTTTCCTCAGCAGTACTGTTTTTACTCATACAGAAATCTATCTCTTTAATCCTCTCAGCCTTCCCTTCATGAAATTATAGCAGTAATGTTTCCAGAAGTGATCTGTCTATTATTCTATGCATCCATATGAGGACACTGTGACATGTAGTAATATATATGTGTATATATATATATATAGTTATATTTTATATATACACAAACATATGTGGGGAGTGTGGGTGTATTTTTATAATCTATTTGTAGCTAAAACAAATCCTCTATTCTGTTGTTTATATTACTGTCGACACAAGTATGTAGATGTTTAACACTGAAGCATGTGTACACTCAGACTACTCCAAGGCATGTGTGAGATTTATCAAACTATATTCTGTACAGTTTTGTGTGTTTCACAGTACATCATGGAGTTGATACTATAAACAATACTTATTGGAGTGTTTTAATGATTTGGAGGATTAAATCTATGCAAAATCTGTGGCTGTGAGTCCAGTTTGATCTATAGGTAATACAGACTAAGTATATGTGGTGTATTAACTGCATAATATGTGAACGTTTCATGTGCACGTGTACTGGTCTCAATCTTGCAATGAGATCCATATGAATGAATGCTGTGTCTGCTGAGTGCCATTTATTTCAACTGGGCTTGACTAGAGATAAAAAGATTTTACCTATATGGGGTACTCAACTGAGAAGGAGAAGTTATGCAAATTTTTATTCTAGGCATGGCAGAAATTATGAGAGATTAGATAATTTATTATTGGAACAATTTATTTTGGGATGTGTCATATTTTTCATCAGCTGAAGTATGTAAGTGAAAAAATATTTTTATCTTCCTTAAAGCATTTCTGAACCTAATCTCTGTTGTCTTAGTGAAAACTTTAATGTCTTTGCAAACTGTCTGCATTCTGGTAGTTCTGTTGTCCTAATTGTCCATTCCCGTTGGCCATTCTGGTTTTAGACTTATGAAACTCTGTTTGTGTCACATTAGAGTGATTCAACGTGAGTCCTCAGTAGCAGAATCTGTAGAGATTTTGTTAAACTTACAGAGGTTATGATTTGTACTGGCACTAACATGACACTGTAATAAGACACATAGGACATCCTAGCTTCACTATATGTAAATAGGCATCTGCAAGATGCTTATACTGCTTGTCGTGCTTTGCAGAAAGAGTTTCATTTTTGCAAGACTGAATTGGTTTTCTAATTTGTAGATGCCATTGCAAAGCTAAATTACTTTAATATTTACAAGGCAAAACTGGGTCCAATCTTTCAAGCATAGCTTAATGATCCTGTATGATACCTAAGACAGTGCAGAATGCCAGTTTGCCAATCACCACCACCACACACTCTGCTCAGGCAGTTGTGGTTTTCCCTTACTGAGAATAGACTGCATTTCCTTTCTGGCTCTGAGAAGAACATTTTTCTCCTATCAGCTAAACATAGAGCCCTTTATACTTTCCTAGATACCAAGGGAAAACCTGTTTCTCTTTCTCCCCTTCACTAAATTGAAGGGTTTCCTTTTCTCTTCTAGGATCATTGTGGCAACAAGAAGATTGTGTATTTGCTCACCTTTTTCCCATCCTTCTAAACACTAGGCAGGACCTCGTGGTTGCTGCCTGCAAGGCTACCCTTCAAGATCACTGACCATTTTGTGAGGGTAGAAAACATTTTAAATGGGATCTTAATTGTAAAAGTAGAACTAAGTATAAGAAGAAAGAACTGAAAATACAAAAATAACTTCATATATGTATTTTCATTACTTAAAGTTTGAGTTATCTGTATTATCCCAGAGAAGTCTTTTATCCACATCTGGGATCTTTGCTCCAGTTTCCTGCAGGTAACTTCTTCAGATCCATCTAGAGGAAAAGCTAAGCCTGAATCAGGACTTGTCTGGAAGTATAATTTTAAATTCTCATTACCCTGTAAGGATTTGAAGCTCCAGTTTGTTTTTTCCCTGTGAAACACTACTCCCTATTTAACCGATCCTTTCTAATCATGTGGCAAACAATGTTGTATCAAACAAAGAGAACACATAACATTCATGACATATTCCAGAAACTAAAATAATATTCCTTTACTAAAATAATACATATGAAAGAATCAAATGCTTCAATCTATCATTTGTCAGTGTCAGGAAAGAATATTGTGATAATTCTTTTTCCACTGTCCTCGGAACCTCATGTGTTGTCTATGACCAGATGGTGTCTATGACAAAGAGCCCATGCTTTCTGTGGTACAGGAACTCCATTCTGGTATTCTGATGTGTCTTGCTCAAATGCTTGGGCTAATACTATTACCATCCCCGTAAAGATGGGAAGGATTCTTTTGTCAACTCAGACAGTACTTTTAAGTGCTTTCCCTTCTATACAGCACAAAAAAGTGGTTTGTTTTCTGAGTTCAGGACTTCTGAGTTCATCTGATTTAGACAAGTGCGGCCATTGGATCTTTGTCTGTTTTCTGCCCTTGCACACATTATAGTTCTGTGGGAATGGAAGTGTGTGGTTTTGAGCGATAATGGCTGCTAAAACAGCAGAGTAACTGAATGACCCTTCTAACCTTAATTTCTATGGTGATTATAAAGCCCTATGAAATAGAAGGATATGGTCAAGTTATATCACTGTAAAATGATTACAAAGGATTAATAAAATGCTGGTACTTGTAAAGCACTTATGACTACAAAGTAGCATAAGTATTTGTATTCTATATTTTATAACGTTGTATTAGCATTTTTCCTTCAAAGTTGTTTTAGTTTAAGCTGTGCATCAGAAGCAGATTTGCAGCATGACATGCTTTCTTTGATTTAGTACAGAAAGTGTGACAGCGCATTCACAAAGAAATGCAATGAAATCATTCTATCATTTAATTAGCATTAACGGTATATTTGTGCTGCATAAAGTATTGACAGAATTCTTTTTCTGCTTTCTTGCCATGATTATTTAGGAAAAGAAGCCCATCAATATCAAGAGAACAGAACAGAAGATACGACCAAAGGGACGAGCGAGACGAATATTCACAGTATGCTACATCAGACAGTGCGATGCCCAGGTCACCATCAGATTATTCAGATAGACGGTCACAGCGTGGGCCTCAGTTATATGAAGAACCTGAACTGGGTGATTATAGGGATTCCAACAGAAGGAGCCGCAGGCGTTCCAAGGAGTATTCGGTAGAAGAAGAAGATGCACAAAACAGGGAAGAATATGAAAGGCAGCGGAGAGAAGAGGAATACCAGGCACGATACCGAAGTGACCCTAATTTGGCTCGTTATCCAGTCAAGCCACAACCATATGAGGAACAAATGCGTATCCATGCTGAAGTGTCCCGAGCACGCCATGAACGGAGGCATAGTGATGTCTCATTGGCAAATACAGAGTTGGAGGATTCTAGGATGTCTATGCTCAGGATGGAACGGCCGTCAAGACAAAGGTCGGTGTCTGAGCGCAGGGCTGCCATGGAAAACCAACGTTCATACTCTATGGAAAGAACTCGAGAGGCTCAGGGGCCAAGTCCCAATCGTCAGAGGACCACAAATCATAGCCCTCCTACACCTAGGAGGAGTCCAATTCCTCTGGAAAGACCAGACATGAGGCGCTCTGATTCATTAAGGAAACAGCACCATTTGGATCCCAATTCTGCTGTACGGAAAACAAAACGGGAAAAAATGGAGACCATGTTACGAAATGATTCACTTAGCTCAGACCAGTCTGAATCTATCAGACCTCCCCCACCAAAGCCCCATAAAACAAAAAAGGGAGGTAAAATGCGCCAGGTTTCATTAAGTAGCTCAGAAGAAGAATTGGCATCCACTCCAGAATATACAAGCTGTGACGATGTAGAGATTGAAAGTGAAAGTGTTAGTGAAAAAGGTAAGATTTCTAATTTTTGATTGTTTCAGTATGTAGATGTGATTTAGTTTCTATTACATTGTATATTTATTTTACCTGTTTAAATTGATTCCCACCACTTATCTACCGCCCTTCACAGATGACTCAAATTTTGTTGTGATGGGAGTTGTTTTTTTTTCTGATTTTGTGTTTCATTTACTTAGATCTAAAGTCAATGATTTACATGCAAAAGAACATCACAGCTACTCGAAGCATTAGGTTATGTTAAAGGAAAAAGCATGCCTACTGAAAAACCTGACAATGAAATCTGCAAAGCATCTAGGGCTGGTCTGTCATATAAGGCTGTGGTTTTGTGTTCATTAATACCAGATTTGCGTGCTCCTGGATCACAATCAGTGCATATTTGGTCTGGATCAAGTGTGGGTGCATGACCGCATTTTTGTTAAATTAACCAGAGCACATAATGCAGACCTTATGCCAGTGTCATGCTGCCTGCTGCAGGTTGAAGAGTGTCTGATCTACAATAAGACCTGTGTGTGTAAAGTTAAGCCATTCAAGTTTTGAAACAAACTTGAAATTACTGATGTGGTTTATACCAATGGAGGTTTCTTTTTCTTCTGGTGCTATGGTGCTTTTTGGCTTAGTACGTTTTAGGATTAGTGTTGGAGTTATTCCACTGTCAGAAAGAAAAGCTAAGATTGATTGAAATGATGAACCTATACAAAGGTAATGCATGATTTAAATATGAAAGTATTGGAGACAATCAGTTTAAACTCAATGTTATTAGTTAATTTTTGTGTATGTTGTTGGTCTACAGTACATTAGTTATAACCTTTTATGAGTTATTACTCTTATGCTAGTGAACGTTTACTACTTCTCCCGAGTGGTCTTCTGCTGTTATGGATTGAGAATAGAAGATTTGTTACTATATATTATTAATATTGCTATCAAATAGGTTCTGAAGCAAGTAATTAATTAGAGTTAGTGAAATAAGTCTGAGTTTTCATGTGTCAATGTCAGTAACCGTGGTCTGATAAGTAAGGAACAGGTAGTGTAGAATGGAAGAAAATTTCACCCAGGTCGAAGTAGTAGACAGTTACATGGACTTATGTGAAACAGCTGTGCTGAAACCTTGACCTCCTTAGTCTTCCTGATAAGTAAAAAAAACTTGTACCAACTTTATGGTGTTCATGATTTTGTTGTTAGAAGCAACCTTGAGTAAAATAGGACCAAAGAATATATGGGAAGTAGTAAAAAAGTGTTTATTTATGGCACTCCAGCATAGGAAATATAATATACAGGATAATATACAAATTATATATTTTTTGTACACATAACATACAAAAAATACACATTTAAGATTATGAAGGCATGGAATTTTTTAGATTGGAAAAGGTCTGTAAGATTATTGAGTTCAACCATTAATCTAGCACTTCCATGGTTTCTAACACATCAATAAACCTTGTGTCCTTGCTACTGCGTGGAATCTCCATCCCCTGCCATCACTGAGACAGCAGACTGAAGGACCTCACTAGCACAATGTCCCTCAGGCATTGGTGTGTTGCCCCCAAGGCTTACCTGTAGCAAGCCTACTTTTATTCCTGTTCCCCTTCAGCCCTAGTTTAAAGATTTCTCAACAAGCCCTGCTGAGATCTGCCCAAAGATCCTTTTCCTCTTTTGAGACAGGCAACCCCCATTTGTTGTCAGCAGGACTGGTGTCCTGTGAAATGTAAACATGATCAAAAACCCTCAAAATTCTGCTGGTGGCACCAGTGTCGGAGTCAGGTACTGATCTGAAAGAAATCTTCCTCTCTTTCCTCACCGTTTCCTAGAACTGGAAGGATAGAGGAGAAGATCACTTGATCCCTTAACGAGTCACCCCAAGGCCTTGAAGTCTCTCCTTAATTGCCCTTGGACTTTTTACTGCTACTTCTGCTCTGCCTGCCTGAAAAATCCATAAAAGCTGAGTGCCATTCTGGGATAGGGACACCTTTGACCCTGGTCCCAGAACTGCACCAGACTGTTAATCTTGACTGAGCTACTGTAAGCGCTTCGTCATGACACACAGAGCATAACTGTGTCAGTGTGGCCCAGTGGTGGCCTGTGGCTGGAACCAGTGTGGAGAACAGCCTTGCTTTTTCATGAAGGATGAGAGCAACTGCTTGAACTGGGGAAGCCATCTGACTGCTTCTGGCTGTGCCTGCTTCCAGCCTGAGCTGAGGGCTCCTGGGCAGGGAGGCACAGGCACTCATCCCAGAAGTAAACAATATCCTCAGACCCATTCCTACTTCTCCCCTGCTCTTTAACCCCTGGAGTGGAAGCTCCAGAAAAGTGTTCAAGTGAAATTGGGAAGATTTGGCTTCTGCTAGGCAGAAGAGATCTTCTAGGATGAGGAGGAGTGGGTCTCACTACCTAGATCCAGACTTCCCCGCTGCTATAGGTAGATGCAGAAAGTTCTGCCTCATTCTTTTTGTTTCCATGAATCACTCTTAGCGTGTAAACCAGCCTGCATTCAGAGTCCCTGCAAGCAAGTGATTTATATGTGAATACCACCCAATGGAATCCAACACATAAAACACCATCAGTCTTCCTTGTATGGCAGTACACTGTATCCATAATTAATAAAATGAAATTAATTATTTTAAACACATCCATAAAAATTAGTTTCTCCTCCCCCCAAATTAGTTGCTTTCTGGCCTTTGAAAGTGCCCTAGATGTGAGGATTTCTGAGATGTCCTTTTAAGTCACATACAAAGTCTGTTTGGCTGAAGATAAAATGTTAAATATAAAACATTTGGCTTTAGAGTGATGAAGGGTGGCAATGTTAGCTTGAGAATTTGGATGCAGTAATAATGAGCTCTCCAAAAAGAGCAGAATAATGTTTTCTCCATCTCTTTCTCTGTGGAGTACCTATATTTTTTTGTAGATTCTGCAAATAAATATTAACGACTACTCTGCTGTGTGGAGCAGTCTGGGCCTTAGCTGCAGGAACAGGTGTTCACTGATTTACATCAGAGATTGTACAAGGCCCTAACACTGATTTTAAGAAACTAGTCTGAAAACTGTGATTTTTCCAAAAATATAGGAAAAAAATATAGTCATATGCTCTTCAAAGGACTGAAAGCTTTCCTTTTAACCTTATCTTCAAAAGGAAAAGGGTCATTACATACATAAGTTGGAACATATATATGCATATAAAATCAAGATAGACATTTGGTTCTGTGAGTTCAATGCAGACAGGTACCAGCTGCTGGATTAAGAGCTCTGGGAAGAGCATCCATTATTGCTGAATGCCTGTGACTTTCAAGATTTAGGTCTGATCTCATTTCAATAGCTGTCTACCTCAAGGTAAAATTTCCTTGATTTTTAAAAATGTAATTAATTTTTTTCAGGAAAGGGACAAGGCAAAATTTTTTTTCTTCATGTTTCTAGTGATGACCAAAGAAACCATTGCCTTGGAATGTTCCTGCCTCCTCTATGGGGGACAAGGGAAACTGTGAGCAGAGAAAGGTGATGAACACCCTGACAGGACTTGGTTACCCCATAGACAGTCATGTGAAACACAAGCATGGCAAAGAATTGTTGTAGATGGAGGTTCAACTGCAGAAAAGAAGATTCTTAAGATACTGCATAGTTTTTGTTATACAAATATATTTGGACCAGGATATTCAGGTCATATGCCAGGCTGAGAACTGGCATATTGGAATGGGAGTCAGGAGGCTTCAGGAGGAGAAGCAGATAAGGGAAAGAAGTTTAGGAATGGCAAAACAAAATGTCATTAGATGTCTGGAAACTGGTGGATTGATATGGAAACCGAGGCTGTAGGAGAAGAAGGAAGAGCAAAGCTGGTAGATCTAGTAGGCAAAACCTGTGACCTGTAGTTTGGGAAATGCAGATAGAGTGAAGGAAATCAGGCTGATAAAGATAATTGGTAAGGTGAAAAGGAGCTTCCTGAAGGGTAGGTTAGAGAATTCTGAGAAGCAGAATCAGCATTTTGGGGGAGATTGGTTGGCTGGGAAAAGGGCATTCAGAGAGAAGAGCAGGAGGGCTAAACTTGGCTTGGGATTTTTTGCAAAGAGGGACTGGAACTCCTGAGCAAGGAATGTGAACCTGGCAGCATTGGCCTGAAGTGCTGAGAGGGTGTTTGGTGAGATGGGAAGTGTAAGACCACAGTGAGAAGAAATGGTGTGACAGACCAGTTCGTTCTTTAAAAGCTCAGGAAATATGTATGGTAACAGTGTTAAATGGACATAGCTGAGATTATAAATGTGTTTACCTGAAACTTAAGTTGTGTCAGAATTAGACATATTTTGCAGGCTGAATTTTGTGCAGCTCTTCATACAGGTTGAAACTGTCCTTAGTGGTACAACTGAATACCAATTTACCAGATAGCCTCTGCCTTTTTCTGTGCATAGGATGAACAATTCTTGCTTATTATGCTGTTCAGATTATTCTGAAGCTTCCAAAATTTTTTCCACATTATCTAAGGGACCCTTCTTTACTCTTGCTGTGAATACCAGGCTTCTGAAGCTGTAAAGATAGTGTCATTTGTAATACTTGTTGCCAGTCCTGGAGATCAGTATATCAGATGGTTCAAGGCTGCATCTCCACTGCAGGATTCCCTGCCTGTCTTAGGAAATACACTTTGAGAGAAAAAAAAATCAGAAGGTGACTATATGTTTTGGACCAAAATATTAGGTATATTGCTATGTCCCCTACCACTGAAAGATCAAAATTGCTTAAAATTTTAGAGAAAAGCAATTCTTGAAATGCCAGTGCTTTTAAGAATTTGTAAATTTTAAGTGGCAGTAAAATCGATCCTCCATCATTAAACCTGGAGATCATAATGATGTATTAATAAATGTTCTAGACTGTTCAAGTCACTAGTTCTTTCTCAAAACCATCTCAGTTTACATGGTTCAGTTCCAAGGTTCTAAGAAACATGGTTTATACAGCAAGAACAGTTGTGGTGCTAATTGCAGTAAAGTGGACATTGAACTATGTCACCTACAGAGCTCCAA